GAGAGAGAGAGAGAGCCCAACCTGTGAGTTTGAAGGTTTCTACTAGGTGTGTGAGAGAGAGAGCCCAACCTGTGAGTTGGAAGGCTTCTACTAGGTGTAGCTGCAACACAGGACTGAACGTTCCTTGGTTCCTTTCTTTCCTTGACGGCCACAAAGGGAGTTTTCTCCTCAATTGTTCAACTATCATGATCGTCAAGTTGCTATTTTAGAATCGGTCTCGGATCTCTCTTTTCGTGTGCTGGTTTGCACCAATATTGACACAAAAACACAGAACATTCGAAAACGAGGAGGATTTGAACCTCCTTGTGATAGCAACCACAAGGTTTAGCTGTTTAGGCTCTTCCAAATCTCTGTAATACTTCATAACTTCACACACACATTTTGCCAGATAGCGGGTCCATGCAATCCAGATTACCGATCTGGTTGATCTAAATCAGGATCAGTGAGTGGGCCATCCACCCCACTGATCCTTTCTTTAAAACAATGGTTTCTTGTGTGCTAGGATTTGACAGATACATATCACACTGCTCTAGCTAAATCTCATTCTATAATGTTGCTTATGCAATAGGAGATGCCAGATTCAATTAACACATAACCCAAATATTGAACCTAAAGTACAGATATTTGATGGATTTACATCTTTGGAAAGAAGCCATACCACCAGCCATATTTTAAAATTTGGGGGGTTCCACGGGCATCCTGCAGACCCAAGGGTATATATAGGACCATAAGTTTAGATTGGGTGGTTTATGTCTTTTTCCATACAATGTATGAATATGCAGCTCTGAAGGTTCAGAATGTGGTCTAGTTTCTCTGAGTTGTTTGCATGGTTCATCATATTTGTCAGTGGCTGCAACAGAATTTTACTAATTTGCTGGACTGCAAGAGAGAATCTTGTGGTTCTAGGTGGTGGGATGCCTAAATTTGTAGTTTCTTATGTTAAACTGTCGCCAACATTTACATATTTGGATTTTCCAAAGAATGCCTTCGGCCAGATGGTCTTTACCAAACTACAAGAAATGTCACGCACCCAATTATGTAGCCTCTAACACTGGATTTTTTCATGACATTCAATAATTAATATTGTTTTGGTGGGCATATTCATCCTCAAAATGAGCATTGGCCTATTTTAGCCATGGTTTTTCTGTCCTTTCAGGCCCGATACACGGCATATATTTGTTGATGTTGGACTTGGATTTCATGTAGAATTTACGTGGTCTGAAGCTTTGGAGTTTATATCCGTAAAGGAGGCAAGACTTGCCCGGTAAATCCACTTCTACTTTTATTCTTGAACTTGAAGCTTCAGTTGGTGGAACTCATGCTTTTGGATCACATGTTTGTAAGCTTTGTGTGTTTGAATTCAATCTAGAAATGACCACTAACCTTCATAAATTATTAATTTTTTAGCAATTTAATTCCAATTTCAGCATCCTAGTTGTCAAAGTTAGTTTTCCATCTATTGAAACATGATTAAGTATGCATCAAATTATCCCCTACAGAATACATAGAAGTATGTGAAGGGAAAATTAAGGGCCAGTTGGGATGTATAACCAAAATCCACATTTTTATGGATGATTGTTTGAAAATCTATGCCAAAGGGTTAAAAGTAGTCCAGGGAACAAAATTGTTTTGGATGGAAATTCAAGAAACTTCCACTTGAGCCTCCAAAATAGCATCCAAAAAAA